TCTAGGTTAGGTTTTGTTACCAATACTAGGGAATTTACCCAATCCGTTGGTTCTGTGACCTGCCTTATGATATCCATCTGCTCCAGGTTGTCCAGTTTATCTTTGAGTTTGTTATGAAGTGCAAATGGAATCTTTCTTGGGGGATGCACCTTTGGTATGGCATCATCACACAGCTGAATGTGATATTCACCTTTTATGCATCCAATACCCTGAAAAACATTTTTATATTTAGATATTATCTCATTACAACATTTATTTTTCTCTTCCTGGCATGTTTCTTTAGTTTCATTCATTTGATGAACTTGGGTTTCTTGAGGATTGTTTCTGACAATGTAATTCAACATTTCACATGCTTCTAAACCTAAAATAGCATCTAATTTCGTGTCTACTATGTGAAATTCCAACATCAATGTTTTGTGTTTGTTTTTTATATCCAGGTAACATAATCCTATAGTTTTTATACAATCACCACTATAACTTTTTAAATTCCCTTTAAATTTAATCAATTCATTGTACTGAATATTTAGTTTTCTGAAGATATACAGTGGTAGTATGTTACACTGTGCACCAGTGTCTAGTTTGAAAGGAACTTTAATTTTATCATTAACAAGAAAAGTTTCTATCCAGTCTTTATTACTATTGGAATTTTCAATGTTGCCTAGAAAAACATAATTTTTTGTTGATTCATCAGCAAAATCATCACTATCATAATCATCACAGTATTCGTTGACAGTACTGAGATGTTTAAATCTACACATTTTTGAAAAATGGTTAATGTTTTTACAATTCTCACATATTTTGCCAAATGCTGGACAGTTTCTATAACTATGTGATGAACCACATTTTTTACATTTGTAATTATTACTGCGAGTATTTCTAAGTTGAGAATTGAAATGGTTGGTACTCATCTTTTTAGTATGCATTTCTTTTGCTGCTGTTTGGCCTTCTGGATGGGGTTGGTTCTGGTAGATGCTTGACTGATACTGTTTGCTTGAACTGGGTGCATTTAAGTATCTCTGTTTATGTTGAAATATTCTGTCCACTTCTGTTGGAGCTTCTGCTGACTCACTTCCTTGTATTGTCTTCATCTGTGTTTCAGTCCTTTCTGCAACTCTACAGGTGTCTATTGCTTTCTGTAGGTTCATTTCTGAATCTCGTAACAGGATGTTTTTCAGGCTAGCATCTTTGATTCCTAGTATTAATCGGTCTCGGAGCAAACTGTTTTCTAGTTCTTTGAATTCACATGTGGCTGCAAGGAGTTTCAGAGCTGTTAGGTAACTATCATACGACTCATCTTCACGTTTGTCCCTTGTGAAGAAAATGTGCCTTTCGAATGTCACATTTTTTGTAGGAACAAAGTATTCATTGAACTTTCTCACTACGGCTGAGTAGCTTGTTTTTTGTTGTTGGCTTTCAAACGTGAAACTATTATAGATTTTTAACGCCTTGTCACCAATATGATTAAGTAATAAATGGCATTTGTATCCATCATTTTCTGCTTCTAATTTTCGTACCTTCAAATATATCTCAAATTTCTGTTTAAAAAATGTCCAGTTTTCTTCCATGTTTCCTTCATTTTGTAGCTGGCCCGGCGAGTGCACGCTTTCTGCCATTTTAGGTTATGTTAGTGGGTTCCAAGTTCCAATCTGAGTGTGTATATTTTCATTCAATACCATCCTTGTTTTTACCTTTTCGACTGCGCCATGTTTGTTTCTGTGTATTTAATCTTTTATACTAAAAGATTCACTTGATAATAAGGGATGTATTTGATATAGGTTGACAATGGAGTTTTAAATAACACTCATGTTACTAGATTGGAGGTCTATTGAAAAGTGAGTCTGTCAGTGATATGTCTTATTACATTCAATCTTTTACTAAGACATCTGACATGGAATATAAATAAAATACAAATGACATGACACATGACATTCTGACAATAATTATCCACTCCACAAGTTTTTCAATGCATTTCAGCTGAAACAGTTTTGATTAAAACGGAGAATTGAAAGAAGAGGCAATATATGCCCTACCATTTAAAAAATCATACCTACATTCAGGAAATATTAAGTGTTCGTATACAGTACACATGACATATTATGAGCATATTAGTTTAAATACCTACATAATATTTTTCACCATTTCTCAACCATTATGAAATCGAAATTCATTTATTGATAGGTACTGCCCAAGATCATTAAAATATGCCTAATAACAGTCCCATTTGGTAAAACGTATTAAACTTTCAGAAATTTTTCTCACTGCCTCACGAAGATTACGCTGGAATTGAAAAATCTAAAACTAAGCCAATGTCCTCAATAGTCAATATAACCTAAAAACAACAAATGTCAGAAATCTAGTGTTTTCCCCAGAAATGAATAAATATGGAACTATAATAACTGTTTCACAAATTCTTTAGAGTGAGAGGAGACGAGGAACTGTCCGTACCTTGTTAAGATGACAAATACGTCAATTTACATCAAGGGACCCTAGTCCAGACCTGCCGCTGAACGTAGCCCCGCGGATCTTGTTTTTGTACTAGATTAGTGTTAATCGTATTGACGTACTAAATGTGTATGAAATGTACTAGAAAAGTAGTACTAAAAACGGCAACTCTGTCTCGTCCTCGTCTCGTTACTCTCGGTCAGCATGTGTAGAAACTAGAAGCCGAATTCACCCCGAGGCTCCGAGTTTAAGAATGGAAAAAGGATACTGTGATAAATGCGCAGCAATATATAATTTCTATGAGCAGTTCTCTATTCGCTTCATCAATCAGATTGAGTGACGCGTGACGCGAAAATAAAAACGTTGCATTGGGAACTCACCTTTAGGAAAACGGATACAGTCGAGACGCGAGACTCGAGAGGCGTCAGCCCTAACTTCAGAGTTCTACATACGACTAGACAGGACAGGACTTTCTTATTTTTTTGGACTCAGCATTTGACGGATTTCCCATTTTTATGTTCATTTAATGATTTAATTAGCTGCCTTGGACGTTTTTTTCTCGTTATAACTCATTAGATTTACGAGTTTTTTTACAAATACAGGATGTTGCGCTCGTGATTTGATGATGCATGATTATTCAATCATATTCATGCAAATACATACATACATACATTATATTTTTGACGAGAGTGTCTGCCATTTTCGGACAATATTCTATATATATCCAGTGTTCATCCAGATCCAGTGTCACGATACAACAGGAGGTTGTGGCACCTATATACTTACACCCAGAAAACAAGACAGAATATTATATGAATTTTTTCACAACGTTCACTACATACCTCCTTCAGAATATTACGAAGAACGTTCATAAACTATGATGAGGATGTTCTGAATGTTCATAGAATGTTTTACGAGAAAATTCATAGAACATTTCATCCAAATATCCTGGGAACGTTCCTAGAATATTCCTTTATATTCTATATGAATGTTATTCAGGAATGATCATAGAATGATGTATAATTAGAATATTCTAGGCATGTTCTCCAGGTATGTTTATATATATAATAAATTATTTAGATATTCTGAGAAAGAGAAACACTTTTATTTCCTTGTGTCCTAACTTGCTTCGTTCTTGAGATACCGGAGTCTAAATAATCGATTTTTCATTGAGTATTCAAAGTCCTTTCTGATGATCTTGATGCATATATATTTGATGTGAAATTCTGATTTACAAAAATTTCGAGATGTTGAGTTAGAATTTTAAAATTTCGTGTTATTAAGACAAACTTTTGAAGTTTAAAGCAGCCTTCATAATAAGAACATTTCTAGATCATTCTGAGGATATTCTATATATATCCATGGAATGTTCTGAAAAATATTTTGAGATCGTTCTTGGAACGTGAATTTTCGTCCCATTTGCATGTTCCTAGAATATTCTCAGGACGTCCACTGCACCTTGTGAAAACTCGAAATCTTCTGAGGAAATATTCTAAGAAGGTTTTCAGAATCACTTTGTGTTGTCTGGACTGAGATGCATGTGCACAAGAAACGGCCAGGTTTCGAGATCGTTTTTTTAAATTTGGTGGGTAGCAAATATACCAAATTGCTCAATAATTGACAAAACAATTTTTGTTCTATCACTTCAGTTTCACGGAAAACGACCCCAAAAGCGCATATTAGAATTGATATAAGAAAACTAATTCCTGTATCGGCTTTTTTTTATGTTCTAGTTTCCACGAAAAGGAATATACTGTAACGTTCAGTGAACATCGTGAGAACCAAGGGAAATAAGGTAGGAATTGGTGTTTTTCTTGAATTTCTTGAGGTTATCTGCTTCGGGGAACACCTCCCTTGGCAATGTGTTCCAGAGTCTCGTTGTTCGTTGGATGAACGAGTCTTTGGAAAGAGATGTTCTGCAGGTCTCTAAAGTGACCACGAAGGGGTGCGAAGCCTCAACTCGACGGGTTAATCTTGCGAGGACTGCCAAGGGAGGAACTATTGTTGATATTTCAGAAGAGCATCTACCATGAAAATATCTATAAAATAGAGCCAGACCGCCAACTTTTCTACGGTGTTCCAGAGAAGTGAGTGAGTTTGTGAGCGAGCCATCACCCTCACCCACGAGACGAATTGCCCTTTTTTGGATAGAATCCAACAACAGTTTCAGGGTACGTTTGGGTGCTGCACTCAAAATATGGGAACAGTATTTCAGGACAGGTCGGATCTGTGCCATATAGATCATAAGCAGCTGACTGGAAGTGAAATAGCAGCTCCCGGCCCGAAACAGAAAACCAAGTTTTTGGTATGTATATATGCCTATACTTGCTGATCCAGCAAACGTTGTTTATTTTATAGTTCAATAAAAATAAACTAAATATGATAAAAGTGTGTTTCTTTAGTTCTTTAGTTCTTGTAGTTAAATATGACGCACTATATTTTTACAATAAAAGTTGATTTTACTTGTTAGTAACTAAGATTTATTACTAAAATTTCAGGAACATTGAAAACATTAAATCTCTTTCAACCCTTACGTCTGATATTACATAATTGTCTAGATAATTTCAAATGAAACTTAAAAAAACATATTTCCGATGAGTTTTAATTAAATATTACGCACTATATTTTCACGATAGAAGTAGATAACATTCAATATAATATTTGGTGAAGGAGATTTTATGAAAATGAGGACCTATATTGGGTGGGACTTCGTTGCACTGGCAAAATGATCTAATTTGATAATTAACTATATTCCACCCTTCTTATTAGACCATAACCATTTCGGAAGTTTGGGCAGTTTTAGATGGAGTTCCACTAATGAAGTCATCATCAAAACAAACCTGAAAATAAACATCAAAATGTTATACATGTACAGTGAGAACCAAAAACCAAAAAATAATTTTGCTTCAGATTTTCAGATTTTCTCTATCCCTTTTATCGCAATGGAGCTGTAGAGCTTTTCCACACTATACGTGGACGCCCGGTATATAACTTATAAAAAGGCATAATTCAATTCAAATTTCATTCAATTCAATAGATACATTTATAAACCTTCAGCAGCACACTTTATCCAACTTCTGATATCTTTCGGGTGTACCTATACACTGGTGGCCATTTTGGAAAATAGTCACCAATGCCGCCATTTCGCAAAATGATCACCAAGGCCTCTAGGGGCCAGTTGGCCGATGACTCCACATCTAAATTCGTTCATATCATATCGGTCTACTGCTGTGCCAAATTTTTGGTGCCTTTTTCAAAAAATTCACAGTAGTTATTCAGCTAATCTGCTTTACTAAATATGATTTCAAATAGAAGTTTTGGTGATTCAGTCACACATACTATATGTATAAAAGTACCCTATTTACTTTACTGTTAAGCCAAGCTTCCAACAATTTTTATTTTCTTCTTCAAGACTGAACAACAATATGGAATGTGAACAATATAAATATGAGTGGAATAATGCTATATTGAACTATTGAATTTCGCTTTCTAGTATATCATTTTGAACCTCAAATTCAAGTGATTTTGAGTGAATGTCAAAAACTGGAAAAATGCCATCTGAAATAAGCAAGTTATAATTTCACTTTTCTCAAATAGGGTCAGCTCGATTACTTTGAAGTTATCAAGGAATCGGTATACCTACACTAACTCCAATACAATGTTTCAAGAATTTACCACTCTCAAAGTTGACATTTCGGTTAAATGGTCGAGAACCAGTACATTTACCCTTTCAAATAAAAAACATCTCACCCAGTGTGTTTGAACATTATTCCTAAGAAGTGGTGTATCAAAGGAAAATAAATCTTCCTCGGCGGCTAAGACTGGTTCATCATCATCAAAACTAATCAACCTCTCATCCACATCTTCATCGTCTCTCGAAATAATCACATCTTCGTGAGGATGACGATTTATATTCATTCTATCATTTCTATCCTCATTCTCGACTATCTCCAACTTCTGAAAATCGACTTGGGGCGATTCAGGGCCTAGTCTGCAAACCTCGTAGACGGCGTTGAAAGCATGGCCTACTGCGAGAGTGACGGTTTCAGCTGTTTTTCTCCTCGAGCATAGGAAAGCATGGCACTCAGTGATGTCGTTTTCATCGGTCGAACTGAAGGAGAATATCTGCCGGTGGGTGGGGTCAGTCGAACAATTGGATATTCTTAAAAATAAAGTATAATTATTGCAAATTGGTTGTGGTCTATTTGACAAATCATTGAAAACGTAATTTTACTTATGTTTTGGGATGTACCAAACCTAATTTTTCGAATTAGGCAATCCAATGACCTGTCAAATCAAAAGTACAAGTCATATAATCGAAGGAAATCACAAACAGTAACGATTTAACTGTTTTTCTACATAATTCTATTGATTTTATATATGGTGTCAACCAGGTGCCATATTGATCCTCACCTGAGTTGGATTGCCTGATCAATGTCGGCTAAATGAGAAAGGAATCTATAGTCAGCTTTGTAATATACTGTTTATGATATTCCTTGTTGAGGAATGATAATATTGTAATATTGATAATATCAACGAATGTGACTCAGAACTCAGGAGACACGTTTCATGAGATGCCTTCATTTTCAATACAGTGTGCCTATAAAAAGGATGAATAGCATGGGATCCCACTGATCCCAGTAACCGTTATTATAGGTACGGAATGTTTTTGAACGTCATTTTGTAGAGGCAAAAAAATGGCAAGAAAAAATTCTAGTGTCACTTGTCATTATAATCACAAGTTATTTATTCCTTCATAATTCCGTATAAGAAACTTCACAAATGATTAGATTTCCACAAAATTCCCAACACACATTTTTTGCTAACACGTTAGCTCGACAATTTAGCTTCTTAAAGTGAAATATTCATACAATAATTCATTTCTTCAATAGTGACATTAGGTCATATTTCAGTTCTACATAAGAACTATAGTGATTGGAAAATATATTGCTAGTGATGAAAAAAATTCAATATATGGTATAGTAAAGAATGATATTACCACGAGACCTTATACCACTCGGCTGAAGCCTCGGGATATAATCTTGGTTCCTGATGGGTAATACTGATATACTTTGGTGTATAAAATAACTATTTTCTACTCCCGTATTATAATGGGCGTGCACACCTTAGTAGAACTTTTAACTCAAACCATGTTTATAATGATCCTTTTATACATAAATAATGATTGACGACATAATTCGATCGAAAAATTAACTGGAATGTTTTATTTTTGCACATAAATAATAGAACCTTCTGAAAACGGACCCTCTTATGACGTAGAAACCTCACCCGCCATAGTTAAAAGAAATAATACCAAACGCCCGACGGAGACTGAGGCAACTGATATATTTATTCTTTAACTGTGACACCTGTGATCTCGCGCTAATTCACTCTGTCAGAAATCATGTATCATTCATCTCTGTCTGGAATAGTCTTGTTTCAGTATTAGGGTTTTGACGTCACATCATCGCCTCATTTTCAGAGGTCCGAAAAATCGGGGATTTCAATAATCTTTTATAAAACGTAGAGAGCTCACAGCAAGCAACGGTTTGCGGTGGTGAACTAGTTTGGGTGAGTTCTATCGAAATATGAAATAATAATGTTTTGTGATATAAGCCCATTCGCGGATTGAATATCTGCTATCGATTTCTTAATATTGTTTATTTTCACACGGATTTTCATCATGATACAGATTTTGACCAATGACACCAATAAATAAGCTATAGAGGGTGGTTATTGATTGAGTGCCGATAATAAAAAGTGTGAATCACCGGGTGATTTTGAGGAGAACAGTTCAAATCAAGATATGTCCTAAACCACTCAGTTTTTGAGCTACAGGGTCTTACAATTTCAAGAAAACAGTGTGTGTTCTTATCATAATTTTTTATCACTACCAGATATTTCCATGAAATTTTTGTACGCACCTTTTCCCCATCATCGAGCAGTTTTTAATGTAAAAGAATTTTGAAAATTTCAGTGTCACCCGTACGGGTTTTGAACTGACAATTTTTGAAGAAAAAAATTATTTTTAGAATATCCATTTATTTAGGAGAAAATTTGGTTATCAAACTTACTTTCATACGACGTGCCGTTTTCGCGTAAAAAAATTAAAACCAAAAACTTTGTTTCCTTCAGTTTTTTGAAATTGTCTAGTATAGGTACTCACTAGGAGTGAAAACGCATTTTGTTTTGGGACGAGAGTCAATTTTCAACTTTTACCAGTGATGTTCACGTATAGGCCTGATATTGAATAATGTTTTATTGATTTTAATAAAAAACTGTACGCCTATGATTTCAACACCCTGTAGCTCAAAAACTGAGAGGATTGGGACATTGGGACATTTGTTGATATATGAACGTTTCTCCTTAAAATCACCCGAGGATTCACACCTTGTGCACTCAATTAATGAAGTATAATACAAAATTAAAAAATTCAATTGTGGAATTGTGGATCAGCATAAATCGAGCATTCCATTTTCGAAATCTACTGGACATAATGTTCAAATTCCAATCAGCCCTTGTGGTCAGTAATTTCTGCAGAAATATGAGCAGAAATAGTCTCAACTGTTCAATGATAAGTTTCCTACCTATACTGTTTTCATTCGGAGGGAGAGAAGAGAAATGAATTATCACATCACGTTTTATGCTTTTGCTGTTTTGATAGAGATACCTATCTGTGGAATATCTAAGTCTAATTTAATGTTATTTAATTCTGAAAATCATTGTCTGATAAATATGGAGAAAAAATCTAGTGAGCTGTAGTATCTGGTCTGCTCAAACAATGGAAATCACCTACAGGTTTCTGTGGCCGATACCGTAGTGCCGCCATACGTTCAACTCGAGGAAACACTCATTTCAATTGTTTTCCTGTCAAACCCACATTACCTTGAATATTGTAAACGAGTTGAGCAGCTCCCTCAGCGGTGCTCTCGGCATTCTCGGCCTGCCGCGTAGTTTGTTGTTCAGTGAGTTTGAGTTCAGAATCACGACATTTAGTCACGGGTCACGTTACTCAGTCATTCAAAAATTCAAAAAATCATTCCTTCTCAAAATTGTTGCTACAGACAAGACAATAGTCTCCAATTGCGTAAACTTCAACACCTAAATTGAAAGGGAGGTAGAATGAGTAGTATGGATCATTAGCTTTTGACCAGGGCTCTGATTATCTCACTTGTAATGAGCCTATAACACTCAATATCGAATGAATTCACTAATGTCGCAGGAGAATATCACTTGGAAATATATGAATGGAGACGGTTTTACACTTTCTGGTAGGCACAATTGAGAGACAGAGTTTGTAACTAATTATCAATCAGAATAAACTATAATACTGGGAGCACAATACAAAACTATATCTATAAATGAAAGGAATATTATATAGAACAATGAGAATTGAAGAAGTAATATTTTTTTCAAGAAAAATACAATACAAAAGTCACGATGGCACGGCGGCTCTTGACACTGACAACTTACAGAACCACAAATTTCGAAAATTTTCTAGAAAAAAGTGAAGATCATTCTGTCCGATACGGTAACATCCTCTGGTGGACATACACTCAACTGAGCTATCAGACCAGTAAATAACTACAGCTCACTAGATTTTTTCTCCATATTTAGCAGACAATGCTGAAAATAATTACCTATAAATGGATATTTTTAAAACATAATTTCCTTGCATATCTGTGACTTCAATTCCTTGAAGGGAAATCATTACGTTTACCCTTTGTAGCTTCTTCCTTCCTTTAGCTGCTTTTGTCGTTTTTAAAATATTTTTGACAGCTTCTGTGGTGATACTGTTCTCTGCCTTCTTTTCTACAACTGTGCTACCTGGAAAAATATAACTGCAAATCGTGAAACCTCAGAAAATTTCTAGCAACATACATGTTATTCATCAGTGACTTGATTAGGAAATTATTATTGTGAAAATAATACGAATTTTGTGTTTCAAAATACCATACCAAATGGCATCAAACACAGAAGAAATTGAGGACTTGAATTTTCGTGAAAATGTGGATAGACTCTGTACTCTGTTCGTATTGGACTCACGTGGGTAACGCCTTATCACATATATTATACATACTAATATTGATTTCAATGGCACCTTATCCAAAGACAAGCGTTGCCAATGTTCAATGAAATCATTATTAACAACCACTCACCAAGGTACTTCAATTTGAAAGTCACCACATCATTTTCACAACTGAAATTTTCATTTGGTTCCGTTTCCATTTTGGAGTTTTGCAGGGCCAGTTGTTCGGATAATTCTGAAAAATTATGAAATACCTACTAAACATAAATGATAATAATATATAGTTATTTATTATACAAGGGAAAAAAGTAGTCGATTTTAGCTCCAGGTTGTGAGCTAAACTAAACTAAACCGTGAGCTAAAATCTAATATTTTTCCCGTGTATAATACACTATTTTTTTCTGTGACAGAAGAAAGGACGACTCAATACTAAGGAGATATTACATTATTTTGAAATCTGAAAATTATCGACGTGAAATTTTAAGTTTTTAACTGTAGGGACACCTGCGTTGTTTATCATTCTTTTGAGGTAATCAAATATCTGATGTCACTTCTGTCAGCCTAGTTCTGTGATTTGATTTCAAAAAATTGCGAATTTAGTGGTTGTTTAGTAATATACGTAACCGCGAAGTCGAATGGAAGATAAGAGGACTTGCAGTTCTTTCTCGGAGACGGTATTATTGGCTCATTTTTCGGAATATATGTGATATATACCCGGAAAAAAGTACTCACTTTTTTCCCAAGGGAAAAAAGTAATTTATGAAAAGTGACATTTTATAACCTGCCAACAGAGATGAAATGTCAAACTTTTTTCCCGTCACAGAAAAAAAAAATGTTTTTCTTCATCCAATTGCGAACAGGAAAGAAACATTCCAAAAGTATTCAATGCATCGTAATATGACTGAATTTCTATCAGAATAAGATTTCTGAGGTCAGAGGCAGCATCGCTAACATAGACCATAGACCACTCTGCGTCAAAGTCAACCATAACATCCTCATAAACAAATTGTTTAGAATTGGTATTGAGGGACATGCCCTGGAATGGATGTTATTTTATTGTAAATGATATCGTAATCAGAGCGTGCCCATCTGTACATTTCACAATGTATGTGGACAATACATCCATACTAATTTCGAAAAAATCTAATTATTCCTTTGAGGTAAAATATAATGAATTTCTTTCAAGACTGTATGATTGGTTCTGGTTCTATATGAATTCACTTCATCTAAATGCAAAAAAAACTCAGTCGGTAAATTTTCATCAAAAACAAAAACAAGTATACCTACCAAACATAACAAACATAAAAAATGAGTGTTGAAAAATGTGTCATGCGTTAGGTTTCTAGGCCTATATACATTGATGAGTGTCTTGACTGGAGGAGACTGTGTGAGTCAGTAATTCCAAAACTCAACTTCGTCATCTATCTTTTCAGAAACGTGAGATCAGTTTTGACGGAGAAACAATAATTGATAATGTTATCTTATCATCCACTTGTTTCAATGATGTGTTCATCTCACAGAAAAAATTTATTCAATGTATCGCTGGTGTCTCTCTTACCACTATAGTTGTCAAAGTTTTTTACGAATCTTATGGACTCTTAACTTTACCGTGTTTGTATATATTTGAAGAATGTGTTCTTATATTTTCTAGCATAACCTCCTTTAGAACTAACAAACAAATTCATTCGATCAACACAAGACAAGACAACCTAACCTAACCTGACCTACATGTGCCATTTTCAAGAACTATTCTTTTATATACATAGATCATCTACTGTGACTGGGCAAAGACTGTTTGTTCAATAAAATCATGTGTTACATTGAGATCATTCAAGCAATGTTTTAGAAAATACCTAATAAAGGGTGGATTTTACTCCTGACTTAGATGAATTTTTGATTTTGAAGCCTTAGTCTTAGGGTCTTAGTTCTCTTTTAGTAGTCAGCTTTAGCTTTAGTAATCGTCTTTGAAAAATTCTATACAAGTTTCTGCATGTAACAAAGAAAATAAAGTATTATATTATTATTTTTATTATTTTAATTATACTGTAACGATTCCACTTCACACCCTGAGAGAACTCAGTTTTGTTGATTTTTCCTTATCATTATACTGAGATGTTTATAAGTTGACATTATACCTATAGTCATCCCTGAAGTCAACAAAACATAACATCTACTATCGGAAAAAAGTATTTGTACTTTCAAAGTTGGTTTGAAACTGGAATAATAAAGGGGGGTACATAAACAAAACTACAAACAATTGAATTCTGAGATCAATAACTGACCAATGATAACCATTTGTTTTCCAATATATTTATACATTCCCAGTATTACGATATCTGCTATGCCAATGTGCGTATAAAGGAATATTCCATTTCGGAATTTCAGGAAATATTTTCTTCATATCATTTGATATCGATTTACATCACCGAATGATGTGTCTATGAGTGAATCTATAGTCTCCTATATATGAGCCTTGCAATTATCTATAAATGTTATCATCGTGTGGTGATTGTGGATCTGGAATATAAACATAATTTTATCGATTGGGAAATCAAAATAATGAAATCAAAATATTTGCATTTTGTAACATCGATGTTATTTTCTGTAATTGATATTTTATAGACGCTCAAGGTAATAATGATATTCTTCACTACTTTGCTCTATAAATAACTGTTTTATTGTTATCAACTATTATTCAGAACCTAGATATGAACTGAATGATAACTTGAAAAAATCAATGTCACTTAAGTACTTCCACCCCCTTTTTTTAGCAGCCACTGGCCAAAAACACCTAATTACAAAAAACATCAAAAGCAGACCTCCTAAATGATTTCATCGAGTATGCCCTCCTCAAGTTTGAGTTACCTACAGCATTCAACCTCCGTCATCGAGTTGATCAAATTTCTCAAGCACTATTGACGAATCCAAAGATGCCCAGGAGAAAGCAAACATTTTTGCGCATTTATTTGCTGGAAATTCCACTGTGGATTCATCGGGAAAACAACCTCCAAACATAACGCCATAATTGACAGTCATATGCCCGAGATCACCTTTCACCAACGTACTATAAGGAAGATATTATTGGGTCTCAACACCGACAAAGCTTATGGCTCCGACGGAATCCCACCGATTGTTCTCAAGAAATGTGCTTTCAAACTGAATACTCTGCAGGTTGTTCAACTACTCTTACAAATTGGAGATATTCCCGTCCAACTGGAAAATTGCAAGAGTACAACCAGTACCTAAAAAAGGCAAAAAGACCTAGCAACTACAGACCGATCGCACTGCTATCTATTATTTCAAAGATCATGGAGGAAGCTATCAACATCGAGCTCATGAAATACCTGGAACATTCAGGTATTATCAACGAAAGGCAATATGGCTTCCGTCATGTATCAGAGATCAACTGGTGACCTGCTCGCTTACGTCGCACATATATGGCAGCAATCTATTGAAAAATATGGTGAAACCTTAGCCGTGGCACTTGATATCTCCAAGGCATTCGATCGAGTCTGGCACCACGGACTCCTCTCCCAGCTTCCATCTTATGGCTGGTCTCCCCAGTTATGTTCTCTGCTAGCTAGTTTTCTCTCAAACGGTCTCTTTATGTAGTGGTCGACGGAGTTTCATCTGACTCTCTTGTCATAAATGCTGGTGTTCCGCAAAGATCGATTCTAGCACCAGCACTATTTCTACTCCATATCAACGATCTGTTGGAAGCAACTTCATGTCCAGTACACAGCTTCCAGTATGATAGTCCCCTCCATACCAACTTCTCTTCAAAGGCTCCAATACCAGCCAGGCAAATCAGAAACAAACGATGGAGACATGTTGACAACATAAATATGGACTTGGTAACAATTCTCGAATGGGGATACAATAACTTGGTAGATTTCAATGTAAACAAAACACAAGCATGTGTCTTCTCTAGAAAAGCCGATCTGACTGTGCCCAACATAAGCATAAAATTCAGGCTAACAATCCAAAATATTAATCTAAGATTTGGTCGAAATTTCACCAGACTTGTACAAGAATTAAAAACGTTACAGGGTGATCAATTCGGCGAATTTCTTTGTTGGCCAGTTTTTTTGCCAGTGAGTGTATATTTGCGAGCATGGGTTTGGTCTTCAAGTTAATTTGACTACAGTGGAAATCGTCACTGAACATTACAGGATATCCCTCTTCGTGGGAACCAGAACATAAAAAAAAATTAGTACGGGCCTGTACATAGGTATTCAAGCTTACTTTCACGATCTTCAATACATTTTCAACATTGAAATTATCATATAGGATGTCCTGGAGAATAAATATATTATGTTATTGCAGATTCACACATGCATTTATGTTATTTAATTCAAGGTGAAATTAAACACACGTATTATCATTTGATAATCGAATTGAGAGTTAAAAGTACACACCAATCCCAGTATCATCAATTTTGAATCCGTTAATGAATTTTAATAAAATTTCACTTATACAGGGTATTCCTAAATGTCATCTATATATACTTATATTTATTTTTCAACTAAAAGTGAATGGTGAATGTTCTAATTAGATTCACTTTCAAGGTATAGGGTATTGAATATGATTAAAAATAAACATTTTTATTCAATCATTAAGCAACCGCTGCACAGAAATAAAAAATTATTCAATGAATTGGTGTGACCCCGAGGACAAAATGAATATATAGTAATAACATTTGGCCAATCAGATATATCCACCGGCTCCGAAGGTGGATTTCATGTTTGTTTTTTACTAAAAAGCGAACAAGGAAGTAGAATTCACAAAACAAAACTATGAAAAGGCCATGCAGTTGCCACTGTTTTCGAAAAAAAAAAACGGAGAAACGAGACGAGCAATACGAGAATTTGCCATATATTATGCTCTGTAAATTATGTAGTAATATATTACTACATAAGAATATGGAAGGCAGTGAAGGCACCCTTTGTTATAGTTTGCTTATTTATATTCGACATCATTACCATTAATTGCTATGAACAACTTCTTTATATATGTTTCATTGATATCGTAAAATATGTACTTTAGACGCGAATATGTTGATTAAATATTGACTGATTGATTTCGAAAGAATTAGGATGTTATTGAAAATAAATATATCTTTCAAAGATCGTGGCATACACATTATGGATATACATTGCACTATTGCATATATGCTTAGATCTAAGCATATATGCATGCAACATATAAGCGACATTTTCGTTACATGTATGTATGAATTCGCTAGTGAGTTACCTCAGCTTCCATTCAATCAACAGTATCAATCAATCCCTTTCTTTGTGATCAAAAACAAGCTGTAAATTTTTTTCAAAAAGGGGTATAACGCAAAATTCTAAGAATTCATATTTCGAACAGAGATAGTTATCAAGAATCAAAATACGTTTTCGAAGCCTACAATAGACTAAAACTTATAATATCCCACCAAAATATAACTTGTTGGTTTGGGAATAGTGCTCGATTTTTTTTTTCCGAAAAATGAATTTTTTGACCGTGCCTTGTATACACCCTGATTTACTATAATTCATGTGATTATAACTAGACATGTTTATGAGTTCCGATGAATATATTTTCTAGCTTATTTTATTTCATTTATACTAAAAAAACAGTTTTTTTCTTTGTCAATCCTACCCCGAATACCCCGATACGACGTTTTTACGAACTTTGTAGGCGTATATATCAGAAACTAAACATGCAAAACTTTTTGAACTCACATATTTTTCTAATATTTCAGCCAATTCGACAGAGAGCCAATTTACCGTGTTTTCGTGCGGGGTCCTTTCCGTAATTGATACAAATAAGAATTAATAAAGAAGAAATTGTGTTCCACAAAGAAATATAATATGGAAATGTGTCTCATTGAATTGTTATTCTACATATGGTTGCCGAAAAAATTGTGTACGCAACACGTCGAAAAACGATTTTTTTGGACTTGCAGGCTTCCAGGACTCGCCTACGGCTCGGCCTAAAATTTTGTCTACTCGTCCAAAAAAACAGTATTTTCCGGACTTGTAACGTAAAATAATTTTGTTGAAAAACCTATCGTAATACGAAGACCCGGAATACCCCTAATGATTTTGAGAATTTTTACTCACTCTCGTGTTTCGAGCTCGGCTTCCAAATGGCCTTAAAGAAGGCCATCCTAGATGAGGAATATATTATTCACAATGCCAAAATTAAAGCAATACCTGCGCACCGTCACAAAGTAGGCTATGTATGGTTTTTTTCGCGAATATCAGCATAAGCATGCATCCGCGTGAAACAAAAGCCAATCGACTAGTGAGCTAAACGCTCGCTAAACGAATTCGACCATCTAACAAGTTGATGAGAATGTTGATACTTCTTGGTACGAAGATAAAAAAGGATCGTTGCGGTATCCAACTTAATTCGCTAATTGCGTCGTGAAAATCGGACTTTCCTATGTTTGTGTAAAACTACACTATAGACTACTAGATAAATTACTAGATAAAGGTCACGTGTGCCACGACATGATCCCGTGATTCTTTTGAAGATGAGCCTCCTATAACAAAGGTTCACAGATCATATTTTGTTTGTAGGGAAAGTTATAAAGTATAATGCATTCCAAATCTGTTTTTTTGTTTTATTTAATAATGAAAGATCAGAGGATAAGCCACAGATTACTCGATCGTTTGGCCTAGTTTGGACCTCGAAAAGATAGCCCACCACGCTATAGTGTCAATGTCATTTGATTAGGATCGTAAACTGATATTTGGGTATTCCCGATCTCTTGTATTCACTTGGAATTGACATTTTATATGATATGCAATTTATTCTGCTGATGATTGGTTTTCATGCAAATGAAGATGAAGTTGAGTGGAGCTTGTGTTTGCACAATGAATCCATATTTCTGAAAAAAAAAAATGGTCATTTACTTACTGTACTACCAACCCAATCTCTATTCACCGATTTCTTCCGTTTCAGATAAGTGACAAGGGTATTTCGGTCCTCGTGTTTCTTTTCGTAAATCGAGAAAAAATACGTTCCGTATATACAGGGTTATGATAAAGTAATGCACAAAATTCATAAAACGTACAACGATCACTTTTGAAAAAAATGCAAAAGCACGTCAAACTGTTTTTTTTAATTCCGCATCTTTTGACATAAGTTACAAAAATAACACGTCAAAGTTGTCAAAGTTATGACGTCATCAACAAATTTTTTTAATGGGAAGCTAAGATTTTCATTCTTTACTACCAAGGTTTTTATTGCATTTTTTTCACCACGACCTTCATAATGAATAATAAATAAATGAATAATAATAATAATAATAGTGAATGAATAATTTATTGATCCTTTCAGACATTTATATGTATAGGACAGGTCAGGGTGGTACTAATAAGTATAAGTATAAAAAAAATTGAGTTTATAAAACAGTGATCACACAGGTTACAAACGTATATATAAAAACAAAACAGATTAGAATCTCTATCAGACATAAACTCATCTATGCTGTAGTAGCATTTGGATACTAATAGTGATTTAATGTATTTTTTGAATGAGTGTCCATCCAGGCATTGGATGCTTTCGGGGAGATGGTTGTAGAACATATAATTCCACAATAACTAGGACTTGTTCCAAATTTAGCTGTCTCATGTGAAGGAATACACAAAAAAATTCTCTTTCTGATCGAGTATGAATGGTACTGGGAATTAGTTTTGAACTTACCTATATTTTCCCTGAAGTATAGCAGGTATTTGAAAATATATATACAGGGGAACGTTAGGATTTCGTAATGAACAAAATAGGGCCTACATGACTCTCTAAGGGGCAAGTTGAACATAGTGCGAATTATTCTTTTTTGAGCAATGAATATTCTGTCACTATCAGCACAATTTCCCCGGAGCACCACATTATATGACATATATGCCATACTATAGTACACTGTTAACAATGACTCTATTGGCATAGATGACTTTATTCGTGAGATTGTGAATCTAGATTTATTGAGCTTCTTGCTAACTGAGTCGGTTTGGTAAGTCCATCTCAAATACTGGTCAACATGGATATCCAAAAATTTCGTACAAGTTTTAGAAACAACCGTCTCACCATCCAAATTAAGTTGAAAGTAGTACAAGCTAGCATGAAATGTGAAATATATGCATTCTGTTTTGGCAATGTTCGAAATCAAACCATTTTGATCACACCAACTATTGAGGCTATTCATGATCAATTTGGTTGACTCAGCAAGCTCCACAAAGGTGCCTGCTGTCACAACTAAGAAAGTGTCATCTGCAAATAGTGCTAACATCTTAGCATCAATATGCTCAGGCATATCGTTGATAAATAATAAGAATAATAGCGGCCCCAGCACTGAACCCTGTGGAACACCAATGCTCAGTGTCTGTTTACTGGAATAATGGTTCTCCAAAATTTTGATTCATGATCCTTGGCCTAAGAAATCTCTGATGTTCAATAAACCCCTTATATTTTCGATTATAATTGCATAAGTGCATAAAAATTACAAGATGCGTGTTAACTAAAAATTGCAAGTTTATTTTTTCATATTTTGGCGAAAGAGCCTTCCTCCAAAATATGAAAATAACCGAATGCAATTTGTATGAGATAACACACTTGAATGCAAAATTATTGGTCATATTTATGCAGGAACGTAATTCATTGGAATATTTCACGAATAAAGAAATTCTCGAAGAAATGTTGTTTTTTTTCTGATGTTCATATTGTAAAAGAACATTTGTTTCGTGATGGAAACATTACCAATGAAAGTAATATTGCAGAACACAGTTTTTATGTCTGGAAACACAAATAAATTTCACATACTTAACGGTACTTAGGTCTCCAGATACAAGATTTTTGCACCTCAATGCATTATATTTGTCATCAATAGTGGGTTAATGCCCAATGCTATCAAATTTATAATCAAACTAGTAAATGTCATCACTGACCATTCAATGGAAAATATGTCAAAATTATTGTGTATATAAGTTTTTGGAAATTTTTGTGGGTACGAATCAACCAAAATTAATTGTGGAATTATGCTGAAAATACAAAAATAGACATGGAGATGATAAGGAATGAATTACAATTCTACTCAAAATTCGCTAGACCCCTCATTTTCCAATTGCCTGACGCTAAAGGTAAGTTTCAAGATAGTTCATCTAATTATATTATTGCACTTCTTAACGGCCTATCCTTGTTGTATTCCAGACAGAGTTTTAGCATCGGGATGGGTTAAAAAAATCAGAGATGAACAGATGGGAAGTGAAAAATTGCGGACCGATTACATAAAACTTCTGTTATTCGCTCTGCAACGAAAGAAACTAGTAGGTATTTTTGCTGAAGATCCAGAACATTATGAAAAACTCGAAGAATTTCCACAAGAATTTGATGTAAGTGCTTTTTTATTATAATTTCTACATTTAAGTATAGTCTGATCTGAAATTTCCTCATTATTTTTTAACTTGAGGCTCAAGTTTTTACAATTGGAACAAACTTCTCAGAAGAAATGTCTTGAATGATGAATTGAGGTGGTAAATCATATTGGTAATCTAACAAAAAAAAATGTCCTCTATCAATGGATCCCTGAGATGATGTCCCAAATTGAATCCCAATATTGCTAATATATATTTTTATATCCACATATTCTCAGTGGAATAAAAAAATCAATCATTTTATGAGGATCGTGTTCTGAAAATAATTTCAATAAAATCTCTGATGTTTACAAAAAAGCTTTGAAATTGAAAGTACTTACTTTATATCGTCTACCATTCAACACTTCAAAAAACCAACTTTATTCAATGACTAACACATTCTCTTCAGAGGAACATTATTCAATGGACACTCTGAAATAACACACAATTATAATAGAAGACGATATAACTACCATCTTGATTCTGCAACCTCTGCATGTATTTGTCCATAATGTTATAATGAATAATAATTGTTACTTTTAAAATATAATGAACCTTTGATAACCATATTTATTAAGAAATGGGTAGTTATTTAGGAATTGTAGCATAATAATTTCAAATGAATTATCATTATCATTAATAATATTAATAATACTAGTGATGATAATGAATGAGTATACTCAAAGAACATTTTCCATAATAAGAGTTATAAATATATAGTGTATTGAATAAACTATAGAGAAAAAGCTTACGAAATGTTGAATACAAATATAAATCAATTATTATAATCGAATTACATATTTCATTTCAAGACAAAAGTTATTTTTTCTACAAACGTCAAAAAATGACAAGGTTCGCGCATTGATAATAAATTGCGAAGTGACACTTTTTTTCAGTTTCCTACGTTACCATGATACCTTGCACAAAACAATGCGCGAAGTAAAACAGTGCGCGAAGTACCTACTTCGCGCATTGTTATTCAAAATAAATGGGATATTCATATTTCAAATTTATGGTACTCAGTCGAGCAAAAATCCATGAAATCATTTATTTCTGAATGTTCAACAATAACCTTGTTTTATCTCTTGGAGCGCACGAAAGGAAATTTTTATTATGTTCGTGGAACATCGTGCGTACCTAGGGAGGATAGGGGGAGGCCTTTTAAACTAGTTCAACACTATTTTTTATATCAAGCTAAGCATATTTTTACTTTAGAACTATATTCTTTGACGTTTGTAGAAAAAATGTTGTTTGCAACTCGAGCGCGAAATACTTTGGTCATCTCGACTATTTTTTCAACTCGGCTACGCCTCGTTAAAAAAATCAGATCTCGATCTCCAAAGTAGCATTTCGCGCTCTAGATACAAAAATAACTATTTTTCTTCATTCATCCATTTTGTTTCCATTCTTTCATAATCATATTTTGAAAAGGAATATTCTCAGATAAATTATGAACATACAAAAATGGATATATATTAATATTATAAAGCAATACATTGAGAATTCGCATTCTCTATGTGATGAGAATATTTACTCTTTTTCAGTTAATTCAATAGAAAACAACTACTTTCCTGGCTATATGCCACGACGAACATTGAATTATATCTATTGAACACACACGATAAGAGTTTTTAAAATAAAATATAAAAATTTCTAAAATAGAGAATTTGCATTCTCCTTCAGACAAAAATATGTATATACACACATCATTCTGAATATTCAACAGAAAACAACTACTTTCCTGGCTATTTGCCACGTCGAACATTGAATTATATCTGATGAATATTCAAAAGGGAAACATGAAAAATAAAGAATAAAATCCTCCGAAATTGAGAATTGACATTCTTCATCAAATGGGATGAATAATATGATGAATAATGATCTAGAAATATGACTTACCA